AGCAGAGCAGAAGTGTCAGGGCAGCCCTGGGGTCATGAGAGGGCCGCTCAGCCCCCCCCCACGGCTCGGGGTGGCATAGCGCCCTCCACCTCCTCACTTCTTTCCTTCCTCTGCCTATTGTTCTCAGTGCCCTCTCTTCTGCCGCCTTTCTGGGGCTGTGACACAGGCTGCAGACCGGGCCTGATATTCTTGCCTTGAAATGCTGAGGCCAAGGGAGGTTTGACGACTCCCCCACAATCACACGGAGTCGGTGGGCAGAGGCAGGAGAAAGCCCACATGCCCCTCTGTCTGCCTCTCTGAGCCTGTCTACCCCTCTGAGCCTGCTGGGGTGTTCTGGCACCTTCTTTTGTGAGAAGTAGATGCTATTGGTGCTCAAACCCCTCGACCCTTAAGATTCCACTGCACACGGATCAGACCTCCAGCTGCCAGCGCCTGTGTGGCTTTGCCCGGAGGAAGGCTTTGTCCGGGAGCTTCCTTTAGCTGCCCCACGGTGGCAGAAAGTGCCAGAACGTGATCATCTCTGGGAACAAGCCAGTGACTGACTCGGATGGTGTATGAATGCCCAGCTCCCTAGTCCCCTACCTCGGGTAGGGGTGGGCAGTGACTCTGAAATGTGCTCTACACAAGCTTGGGGATCCCCAGCAGGGTAGATGGGTTGGTAATGTGCTGAGGATGACCCTTCTGATGGCTACCTCCGCTGTGAAATCCCTACTGGAGATTCCTTTGCCTCCCAAGTAAACTGTTTGCTTTCGGACCCTTGTCCGAGGCCCTGCTTCTGGGAGACCCAACCAGGACATACCAATCCCCCCTGGCTTGGGAGCCTGGGAGCACAGGAGGTGGGAGTCCCCATGTGGCTTGGTTCCTTTTTTGGGAGTGATTTAGAGCTGGCCGTGGGGTTTGGGAGGAGTCGAGGTGGGGACTTCAGTCCTTGGGCTGAGCACCTTATGGACGTTTGAAGGGGCTGTTCACAGCCTTTAGAAGATGTAATTAAAAAGGAAGGCTAGAACGCGCCATCATCCTGGCCTGTGCGGCGCTAATGATGGGGAATGATTGGAAGAAAATCGTGGAGGATCGCCGGCTGGTAATGGGATCTTGGTTGAAGCACCTTGTCTTCAGTTAATTTTATTCTTCTCAAGGTCTCCCCTGCCCGGGTGGGGAGAAGCTGGTGGAGTGGCCACCTCAGCCTAGAGGGGCTGCCCTTGTCAGAACCAGCTGAGATTCAGGAAAAATGCATTGTGGGGTTCTACAGTGGGGTTTGGGGGAGCGTGATGGGGAGGGGATGGGGCCAGGGCCCAGGGGCTGGGGAGGAGAAGGGGGCTGGAGGAGCAGCAGGCTCTGAGCTTCTAGAACACAGGCTCCTGCCATGTGCTGGGATCACATGAAGAGCCAGCAAGGTGCAGATTCCTGGGCCCCACGCCCTAGAGCATTGAATTGGCAAATCTCGGTTAGGGCCTAGGAATCAGAATTTTAACAGCCTGGCTAGGAGATTCAGATGCTGGTGGATGATTGGCCACACTTTTTTTTTTTTTTTTTTTTGAGTTGGAGTCTCACTCTGTCGCCCGGACTGGAGTGCCGTGGTCGCTCCCGGCCACCGCAGCCTCGACCTGCTGGGCTCTGGCGATCCTTCCGCCTCAGCCTTCTGAGTAGCCGGAATTATAGGTGCGCGCTACCACGTCCGGCTGATTTTTTGATTTATTGTAGAGATGAGGTCTTGCCTGCCCAGGCGGATCTCGAACCCGCAGGCTCAGGCAATCCACTCACCTCAGCCTCCCAAAGGCGCGGGATTACGGGCTGAGCCACCGAGCCTGGCTGGCCACACTTTTAGAAACCCTGATCTACAAGTTCGGCCCGGAGCTCGATGCTGGAGGCTTTGGGGCTCCTGTCCCACTACTGGGCCTTCCCTGCCATCTCACAGACCTGAGGATTTCTGGGGCCCGGGGCAACTCAGAGATTACACTGAGGCCCGGGGAGGTTAAAAAAATGATCCCAGGGTTGCACAGCTGGTTGGGAGCAGAGTTGGCCCAGTGCTCTCCATCCTCCTTGATGATGCTGTTTTCTGGAACTGCCAAGGCAGCAAAGGGGAGTCCTGCCCTGCAGGGGTGACGGGTGGGGCGGGCGCACTCTCCCGACCTCTCTCCTGCGGTGTCCAAGGGGTGCCTGGAAGATGGAAGTGAGCTGCCCCGGCCTGGAGACCAGGTAGCCTCAGGTGGCCTTTCGGCTGCTCAGGTCTCACCTGACACACGCTCTGCCCACAGTGATGGGTGGACCTGAGTCCCGTGGCATCCTCCGCAAGATGAGTGACCTGCTGGAGCTGATGGTAAAGCGCATGGACACGCTGGCCAGGCTGGAAAACAGCAGTGAGCTGCACCGGGCTGCCGGAGATGCACACTTTGCTGCCGACAGGTGAGGGGGGCGCCGGGGAGGCGAGGGAGGGGGCGCCCAGAGCAGAGGAGTGGTGGCACCCACAGCTCAGCTCGGGTGCTATTGGTCATCTTTCTTGGGGATCTGGAGAAAACTTTGACCACACGGTCATATAACCCGGAGCGTGTTTCTACCACCCAGATTTAACTACTGCTAACAATTTTTCACACTTGTGGCCTGTCTTTCTGTTTTCCTTTTTAAATAAAATATCACAGATGAAAACTGAAGGGCCCTTTAACGACTTCTCCCTAGAGACAAGTGCCTTCCTGAATTTGCTGTAAGTTCTTCCAGTCCATTCCAAGCACACCGACACATATGTTTCCCACACACGCACACACACACACACATTATACATGTACAGTGTGTGATATTCACAAATTTCACATAAGTGACATCTCACAGCAGCCTTTTTTAAAAACCAAACTTGATGATTTTGAGCTCTGTTCATATTGAGGGTCATGTGTGGATACTGGTGAACTCCAGACCATTTTTCCAAGCAGAATTTCCTGGCTTATTCTAAATATTCCCCTACCTAGGCCAGGAGGTCTGAGAGCCCTACATGCCCTAGTGAAACTCAAAGCATCTTAGGTATATAAGGACTCTCCTGCAAGCCTCAGAGAACGGGAGTGCATGACGTCGGGCCGTCCTGACCTGGGAGCCCTGGCTCCCAGTTGTGGGTGAGGGAGGAGAGGCGATGACCCAACCCCTCTTATGGGGAGACGAATTCCACTTCTCCTTTTTTACGTGTTGGAGCACTTGATAAGATTGATTTGCTAAATGTGTTCTGGCTGCTAAAAAATAAGCTTGAAATCCACACCTTGAGACAATTTGTGGAAAAGCTATGCCTCAGCCATCATGTGTGATGTAAAAGCCAAGGCTCCAAGCATTTCTAAAGGATGGAGCTGGGTAAAATGGAAGAACATGATGGTGCTGAGTGCTGGTAGTTGCAGAGCCCTGGCTGGTCTGAGAAAGGAGGGGGTGTTGCAGGAACCCTCCTCCCCAGTTGGGCCCAAAACACAGCGCTCCGGACTGATGTGGGATCCTTTGCCACTTAGCCTGCTTGTGCCAGGCTGTTGTCCAAGGGGCAGTTTGTGACTGGCCTTGTGCATTGAGCTAATGCCCTAGATGTCTGGTAGGGCCGCCTTGGTGTCAGTGTCATTGTCCTCATAATAGGTGACATTTATTGAAAGTGCACAAAGCACCTGGCGTCGTTCTTACTTCGTTACCTCCACAATCTCATCAATCCCACAACCATCTTATGGGGTGCCTTGATCGCCCAGAGGAGGAAACCAAGGAACAGAGAAGTTCAGAAACTCGTCCCAAGCTGCACAACTGGAAGGTGCTGAGCCTGGCATTGAGTCTGGGCTGACTTGTTTCTAACCACTGTGGTCTTGTTGGCTATTCATTAAATATGTGACTGTGTGTGGTTTAGTTTTTATCCCTGTATAAGACTTTTCCTATCGATTCACAGATCAGAAAAAAAATTCTTCATTTTTCCAAGTAGAATTTCCTGGTTTATTTAGTCTAATTAAGAGAGGAGACCCCCCCCCAAACCCAGAATTATGTTTTGGAGGGTGAGCCCCTTGTAGTTCAGGCTTTTTCTGCTAGGTAAGTGTTCTAGGAACCCATCGGCATCAGTGCACCAGCTAGCGTTGTTGTGAGAGGCTGCGTTCAACTTCGGCGAATTTGTTTTGGAGATTCCTTGCCCATTTCATGATGGGTGATTTATGAGCGCACCTACCCATACCACACTGGGTGTTTAGCAGTTTTGGACTGCTAAAAATGGCATGCCCCTGTGCCTCACCCTCCCTATTCACCCAATCTCGCTGAGTGACTTTTTTTTGCTTCCCCGATGAAAAAAGTCCTCAAGGAGAAACGTTTTGCTGATGTGGAAGAGACGAAACAAGATCAGCAAAGCATTAAAAGATATAAAAATTGATGATTTCAAAAACTGTTCTGAGTAGTGGAAAAAGCGTCTCCATAGGTGTATTGCATCAAACGGAGGGTAATTTGAAGATGACTGAAGTTTAAACAAGTGAGAATAAATGCACGGTGTTTTTTTTTTTTTTTTTGGAGTTGGAGTCTCACTCTGTTGCCCACACTGGAGTGCGGTGGCCTCAACCTGCTGGGCTCCGGTGATCCTTCCACCTCAGCCTTCCAAGTAACCGGAACTACAGGCATGCGCTACCACGCCCGGCTGATTTTTTGATTTATTGTAGAGATGAGGTCTCGCTGCCCAGGTGGGGCTCGAACCTGCGGGCTCAGGCAATCCACTCACCTCAGCCTCCCAAAGGCGCGGGATTACAGGCTGAGCCACTGAGCCCGGCTGCACGGTGTTTTATAAATAAATTCTGGTTCTTTTTGGGTCTCTCCCTCAGGATGTCTGAGAGCCCCAAGAGTTTGCGCTCTAGTCCTAGATGCTCCAGTACTCTGATGTTTTTGGTTTGGGACACGTGGCACTGAAATTATTGTCTTGGAACCTGGGATTGACAGTGATACTGACATGAAGTGCCCAGCATGGGTGCCTGGTTCGTGGTGGGAACTAACCACCTACAGGGAGTCAGGCCTCCTGGGCAGGCCGCGCAGCCTTGTTCTGGGTCCCCAGCTAGACGCTCTTAACCCCCCAGGGACTTAGCATCTTTTAGTATAGGTGAAAGAGATCTGCATGAAATATGTATTGGGGACCTACTATGTGCCAGGCCACAGGTGCTAGGGACACAGTGTAGAGCACGAGGAAGACCTGTCCTCATTCCTGGAGGAACACGAAATAAATATGATCATTGCAGATACTAATGTGTGCTCCAAAGATTAGAGAGTAGATGACTAGGGAAGGGGCTGTTCAAAGGTCTGGGAAGGCCTTTCTGTGATATTTTAGTTTGATTCTGAGTGATGGGAAGGACCCGGCCCCATGAGGAGCTGGTAGTAGAGAATCTGGGGTGGTGAGAACAGCAGGTGCAAAGGCCCTGGGGTATGAATACAAATAAGCTTGGTCTGTTAGTGGGAGAGAGCTAACATGAAGGCCAATATGGCAGAATGTGTTGAGACAGTAGCAGGGCCAGGACATATAGGACTTTTTCAGCCATGGGAATGCTGTTCTGAGAGCCGTGGGAGGCCACTGGATTTAGCTTTTAAAATGACCACTCTGATTACTGTATGAAAACTGGCTTCGCGAGGCGGCAAGAGAGCAAGCAGAGAGGTCAGCGGGAGAGACAGGGAGATGGAGGGTGGGCTTCCCTGGAATTCCCCCTGGCCCATGAGACCATTTCCCTCTGTGCGCATACTGGGCCATCTTTTCCAGTGCTGTTTGTGTCCCCGGGATCCAGCCCTGCCCTCCGGCTCCATGCTTCTCTCTCAGATTCAGTCCCGACGTGGCCGGGTCACCCCCTTGTCTGCGCCCTCACGTCTTGTGGAAGGAGACATACTGTCTTTGTGTGTGCCGGGCAGAGTTCCAGTCCTCCCACCCACTGTGTTATCACTATGCTGCTGATCTAGTCTCTGTCCAGAAGCCTGTTCCACAGGGCCCCTGCTGAGGATGCCACTGCAAACAGCAGAAGCAGTGGACTTGGGCTCCAGGCCTGCCTTCTGGGCTGGAGGTGCCACTGCCAGCACTTTCAGAGTCTGTCTGTTTTCTTCCAGCCCTGGCCTGTCCCTCCCTCCCCTGCCCTGCCCTCCGTCCCCTTCAGGGGAAGGAGGAGGGAATGGAGAGCACACGCCACGTCCTGGCTCCTTCCTGGGAAATAGCCGTCATCCATCATGACCAGCGAAGCCCATCAAGCCCCACAGACAGAGCCATACATTTCAGGGACACTGTTGCTTCTGGTTCCAGGGTGAGCAATGGTAGGTGTGTCCAGGGCCTGTGATATCAGAAAGCTGCATGCTCACACTCCCCTGCACACGGCTCCCACCCCGCTGTGACCTGATTCAGGTTAACCACCCTAGAGCTTCACTGCTAGAATCCTGTAGAAACACATGCTGCTGTTCCCAGCAAACTCTGTTACTGGCATGTGATTCTCCACTTTGAAATTGTGGCTTAAGGAAAAAAAAAAAAAAAAAGCAAAAACCCTCCACTGTCCTCCTGCCTTTCCAGAAGCTTCTGGGCTGCGGCCTTCTATTTGTGGCTGGTGTGTCCTTGGGGAAAGCAAATTTGCTTTTTTAGCCTAGGAAAACGTAATTAGGGAGGCAGATTTGCTGCGAACGGCATCCTATTATGTATCCCAAAGCCAAATAATCATGATTTTGAATTTTCCATAAGGCCATGAAACCACCTAGATTGGAGGCTATCTGTATTCAGGTCAGCCTGGATCTGTCAGATGCCTACTGTGTGCAGAGCCTAGGCTCTGGAGAGGAGGCAGAGGGGACACAGAGGACATGGAGTCTACCGCGCACCCCATGTCTGGCTTGGCCCATGGCCCCCTGGAGGCAGGGCAGGCCTGGGTGACCTCGAGCTTGTCATTTAACATCCCTGAGGCTTAAATTCTTCGTGTGTGTTAGAGATAACGCTGGTGGGAGGGAGGACCGGGACCTGTGCCTGGCATGCAGAAGAACATGTTGTCTCTTTTTTCTGTGCCGTGAGGATGCAGAGAAAGGGGCAACCCGGCCAAGCAGGGGGAGACCTAGAATTCCAAAGTCCTCATGGCAAAGGGGGAATTTGGGATGAGTCTCAAAGGAGGGATGTTTTGACAAGGTAGATGGGGGGGGTTGGGGGGTGCTTGGTGAGGGGAGCAGACGACCCGCAGACCTGTGGAGGGAGGGGTCCTGGGGAGGAGGGGCTGCTCTGTGGCTGGAGGACCTGATGAGTGAGGGGCAATGGTGGACACCAATCCCAGACTTGGATGACTCTAAAAATCGCCATGCATTCTAGACTCCCAGTGTGTGTCTTAAGCTGGGGCCAAGCCCTGGATGCCATCTCTGGATATCCACCTGCCCACCTACCTGGATGTCCTGAGAATGACTCCAGCTCAGTGTCTCCTGGAAGCACCCAA